ACCTGCTTTGGAGATGGAAATGGTTTGTTGCTCCATGACTTCGTGAATGGCGGTTCGGTCGTTGTCGTCCATCTTGTCGAACTCATCGATGCAGCATATGCCGTTGTCGGCGAGCACGAGAGCACCGCCTTCGAGGATCATCTCGTCCGTCACGGGATCGCGCATCACGGCGGCAGTGAGACCGACGCCCGAGGAACCGCGGCCGGTGGTGTAGACGCCGCGGGGGGCGACCTTGGAAATGTACTTGAGGAGCTGAGACTTGGCAACACCGGGATCACCCATCAAACAGATGTTGATGTCGCCACGGATGCGCATGCCGTCTCCCATCTCCTTGGTGACACCACCAACAAGAAGCAGGAGAAGAGCCTTCTTAACATCCAGATGGCCGAAAATCTCGGGTGCAATGGACTTTGCAAGATACTCATAGACATTTCCGTTCATCTGGTGCTGGAGGATGCGCCGCGACATTTGCGGGTCAATGGTCATCTCGTCGTACGCCTTCTTGTGCTGCTTGATATGGTGAGCTTCCAGGTAAGTGTCTGTCAGGAGACCAGCTCGCATGGCCTTGAAGCCAGTGTACGGTGTGGGTAGGAAGATGCCGGCGATGTCGACGAGATCGCCGGGGTTGACCTTGCGGACAAGAGTGCCGTAGCAGAGCACGGTCATTATCCTCGGAATCTGACCAATGGGTACTTGCTCGGCCTGCTCTTGAATCTTGACCTCCTGGAAGGGAAGGAACTTGGATGCTCTGGTGGAAGGGTGGAGTTGACCCTTGGCCTGGTTCTTCGTACAGTCCTCGGACGGGCACATGGTCAAAGGACTGAACTGCTTGTCTGTGACGGGTTGGAAGATCTCGCAACCGCAACGGTCGCAAGTATAAGCGCTGACCTGCGCCACGGGCTTGACGTCCGATACCCTGGTGGCAATACCGCGGACAGTGATAAGGTGGCCAAGGTGATCGCCGCGGACCTGCCGCACGGCCAATGCCTTGACTGGCTCGGTGAGGGTGCTTTCTCTAGGCTTGAACACGAGAGTATACCGTCTCGTCAACTGGGCTGGGAACTGGTCCTGTACAATGGTTGGATCTGATGTCCTCTCAGCGGCCTCGGCCAGTTCTGCGTTGCGTTGTTGTCGTCGAGCCATGAGCACATCTAGTACGTCGTCCTTGAACGAAACATCATGGCTGGGTTGTGGCATCAACTTGTCGATAGCCCGGGACATGAGCTCAACATAGTGCTTCGTGTTTTTCTCCACCGATTCTACCAGTTTGAGGTTCTCATCCAGCTGCGCCTCGTACTGCGCCATTGTTAGCTGTAAGCCAGCAAAAGTCATATGCAAGGTGATGCTTCCTTACCGTGGCCAAATCGTCCAGATCGATCTCTACCTCATCCACCTGCCTGTCTGCCAATTTCTGCATCAAGTCCTTGTACTTGTGTTGTGGTTGCACCTTGCTCCGTTGGCGGCGGTTCTGTGTCTCTGCGTCGTCCAGGAAGTCATACTCGTCGCTGTCGCCGTCAATGTCGATGTTGCCAAGCGCGTCAGTCAATTGTTGCTCGGGAGATGTCTTGAACTCGGACAGGAAGTTCTCAAAAGCAGCTGCGAGCGTGTTAGTGGCATCCCTCGCTAACATAGACTTGCTGCGACTGACTCTGCTGGACTCCGTAGTCCACGGGGTTTTTGTATCGTAGCAGCGCCATGTTTATGTCTGTTTGCAATCTGACGTTGATGTGGTCTGCTGAACAATAACCAGACACCTGAGCAACGGTCGCGTGAAGCTGTGATAGTATGTGCGACGGTGTGTCGTTAAGTCTGCGATGCGACGTTGTCTGGGCACCAAGGATTTGTTTAGTGGAGTTTGTCCAGGAGAGGCTGGAAGCGCGCCGGCGCGATTCAGGAACGCGACTTTACGCGACTGAGGCCCTGGAATGAACAGGGGGTTTAATTGAGTCTCCTCACACCACAGCATGAATTGACCCACCACAGCTGCAGGTCTTCAGCCAATCTCACGCCACAGATGATGATGCACCAACGCCCCGCAAACCGGCCGAAGTTCCGTGCGAACATTCGTTTGAAGGGTATCGGTAGTGGGGTGCATCTGATGACTTCAGTACTTTCGGTCAAGAGTAATCAGGCCTGGATGAATCTTCAGATTAACCTTACCATTGATGCCGAGAGTCTTGCCGCAATGGAGCACAACTTCGCACCACTAAAGAATGACCTGCTCCTCAGGGCAGCCAGAGGTCTGTCAAGCTGCCCTCGCCCAGGTCGCATGACGCATAACTGACAATATACAGGAGAAAAGGTTGAACGGCCACCAATATGGGTGATGCGACAGGGTATGCACTCCTGCTCCCTGACAATCGATCAATGGCGCCCGAACTCTCCCGCTGAAACTGATTCCTAGCCGGTCGCTATCTCCCCGAATATCATGAAGCCAAGGGTGGCAGGGACTTTTTCGAGTGCTGCCGGTCGCCTGAGATCGCCTCGACCCTGACCCTCCAGCCCGTCGAGCGCTATGCAGGTCTCATAGACGCCGCCATCATCTTTTCCGACATTCTCGTGATCCCACAAGCCATGGGTATGACGGTCGAGATGGTGGACAAGAAGGGTCCCCACTTCCCGAACCCTCTGCGAAGCCCGACTGACGGCCAGTACAAGGAGGTACTAGAGCGACATTGCGATGTTGCCAAGGAGTTGGACTATGTGTACCAGGCGATTACCCTGACCAGGCAAAAGTTGGATGGTCGGGTGCCGCTGTTTGGTTTCACAGGCGCACCGTGGACCTTGTTCTGCTACATGACGGAAGGCGGTGGCACGAAGCTGTTCAAGGAGAGCAAGACGTGGATCTACAAGTATCCTGAGGAGACCAAGGCTCTTTTGCAAAAGATCGCCGAGCTTTGTGTGGAGTATCTCGCCCTGCAGGTCAAGGCTGGTGCTCAGGTACGTGGACACTGATGCTCCGGGGTATAGACTCTCTTGCTAACGCTTCATGTCCAGATTGTCCAAGTCTTTGACTCGTGGGCCGGTGAGCTATCGCCAGCCGCCTTCAAGAAGTTCGCAGAGCCCTACTTAGCTCACATTGCGCAGAACCTGCCCAAGAGACTGAAGGAACTGGGACTGGAGCAGGTCCCCATGGTCTGCTTCCCGAAGGGCGCATGGTACTCTCTGGACTCCGTGGCCAACCTCGGCTACAACGTCATTGGTATGGATTGGCTGCACGACCCCGCGGAGGCAGTCAAGATTATCGGAGACCGGCCTATTGTGCTCCAAGGCAATGCCGATCCGGGTGTGCTTTACGGCTCACACGCCGCTATCACAGAGGCAGTGCAGAACATGGTTGATGGATTTGGTTGGCATCAGAGGAAACAGGGCTGGATCTGCAACCTGGGACACGGTATTACGCCGTTTGTCAACCCAGACGACCTCAAATTCTTCTTTGAGGAAGTTCACCGTCTCACGAAATAGAACATAAAGAGTATAAGGCTATAATTTATAAACGATATACAATCTAAACCTCGCCTTGCTTTTCTATTGGGTCTCCCACGGATGCAAGATCTAGATAAAACCTGTACATAGGTTAGCATGCTATCATGACCGCTGTGTGTAAAGGAGACATACCAAGATACTGTCCACGCCGGCTTTCCGCCAATACTCTTAAAAACGCCTTGACTCTGCAGATTAGTCGTCGAAATGTCCGTTGACCCCCATCCGTCGTCTCCAAAGTCACTTGTGTGATGGCGCAAAAGATGTCGTGTTATTGTCTTTGCTAAGCCACGTCCACGGTATGGCTCCTGACCAGAGTTAGCATACAAAATCCAGCCTGATGACCAGGGGCTATTCACCTCGACATGCAACGTGCTCACACTCCCGTCCAATCCTAGAAACACCCATGCAATCGGTGTCCCGTCTTCCAGCCTAAGCACCGTACTAGGCAGTACAACCAGCGTATCCCTGTCGAGAGATGTCTTAATCAGTACCCGGTACATGCACCATGGCCTTGGATCTCAGAATGACTTACTCTCGCTTAGGGATACTGGTCCGGCTCTTGATCAACTCCGCATCCTCTCTCCTCACCGTATCCCACCTCATACCCTCCTCCAGCCCCTTGCCCTTCTCCAGCTCTGTAGCCTTCGTCATCTCATCCACCCTCGCCAACCACTTCGCATAAAACTCCCAGTCCTTTCCCTTTGGTACCACGCCAGTGGAACGAATCCCCACCCCGGCTGTCATCAACAGCCCGCGAATCGTCTCATGACACGCACCAATCCGTACGGCGCCAGGTTCACGGTACGTATCAGCCGGTAGACCATGTTCCTTGCAACTGGAGGTAAAATCCGCTTCAATGGCTGCCAGGCGGCGGAATAGAAGGAGCAGTTGCTCAACACAGGTCTTCACCTCGTTTTCTGGCAGGTTTGGCGGGATGTAAGCGAATGATTCAGGGTCTGTGTTGAAGGGCACCGCGTCCTCCAGTGTAGAGTAGACCCAGCATTCTGTCTCTGGCCCTCGGGAGGGGTCGTAGTAAGCTGCGCAGAAGTGTGCGCTGTCTGGAGAGGAGACGGAGATGGTGTATGCTGAGGGGCTGGAACCGCCTTCTACGCGGGATGCAAATTGGAGACGGCGGAGGACGTTGAGGGAATAGGGGAGGTGAGACTGTAGCACTGTAAGGAGGGGAGACGGTGGACTTGTGCCGGGGAAGGTGGTGATTGGAGGCTCCATTGTCGTGGTTGGGTAGGGTGTGTAGAACGGCGTGAGGGTTCCGACACTGGATGGTCGTGAAGTAGACGTCACTGCACACAAAAGGCTACAGGTCTTCCACCAACAACAAGCTCAAGTTGATGATGATTTATACCAGATATGAGTCAATTGGTCCGGCGGTGTTCCGAAGGATCGGCCAAGGCGGGGCCGGCCCGGAAATAGCGTCAACATCCCGTCCGGCCACGTTCTTCCATCGTCAACAACGGAGAAGGAAAGCTTGAAGGATTTCCAGGGGGAAAAAAGAATACCCACTATCAGAGTCGAACTGATGATCTTGCCATTAACCAGATACTGTTCTATAGATATTTCTTAGGGACGGCACTGGCGACACGCTCTACCACTGAGCCAAGCGGGCTTTGTGTGCTTTCTGGCAGTACGATGCTGGATTTCGAATGATATATGGCCTCTGACCTGTATATCCATGCCGTAGCTTTCTTGGCTGAGACGAGAGGGTGGCTTGGCGAGTTTGGTGGTGGACGTTGCAGGTGGCGAGTCTACTGGACATTGGGGAGTTGAGGACTGATATCTGCTTAGCGGGACAAACATGCAGCCGTGGCATACCAATTAATGGATGTACGGTCAACTAAGGTAAATGGGAAGAGAATCCATGTCTCATGACACACACGCATTTCCTGGTCTTTCTACGTTTCAACGCGATATATATGGCTTACATTGGATGGTTTGGTGTCGAACTACCCTACAAGTCGACCATGATAACTTGCACACATAGGCGACATATAATGGGACGAATGCCAGTTTGTATAGACACTCGTGTTGTTTCTGTCTCATTCATTTAACTGTGTAACTCCCATACTAATAATATAGTGTTAATGCCTTGGAAACAGTCCAAATGCGTCACGCTCGCCGACGTCTCGTCGACGTCTCGGCAGCTAGAATTAGACCCTTTAAGTCCATGTCCGAGTCCAAACACCAAAACGATACTAGCAAAAAGACCAAGCGAAAGAGGACGAGGTTGAGACAGATGCAAATGTTGAGTATGGTGTAAGGTTCCCGTACCAGAAATACCTGTTGTTCCCATGGACATGGGCCCAGCGGGTGGACCGTTGGGGCAGCTGGTATAATAAATGCCTTTATGCAGAGGATGCGTATATAGCTGGGAAGGATGGACACCAGTGGGGGTGACCACCTGTGATTCTCGGTGCCGTACGCTTTCTTTTCCCTTTTATTTGAACCTCACTTTTATCTCACGATATCAAGTGGTGTTTATTGGTATGCGGACAAGGCTCATTCTCCCTTTCGAGCCAAATGCGTTTCCATCACCTGGTAGTGGTAGGCGCCACTTGCGGCATGTGACTCAGCCCAAACTGCGACCAACAGTTACACTATCAACCTAGGTTCAACTTCGAAGCAGATCTAATAGGAATGGCAATATTGAATTTCCTCTTATCCTAAAGCTACGTGTTTCCCGTCTAACGCCCCAATGCGCCACGATGAAGCTCGTCGTGATTGATTACGACATGGTCAAGCAGGACCTCACCCTCCCCAATCCAGTCAATTTCAACACCTCCTTCCACAGCGCTCAGGAGGCCCCGGATCTCCAACGACCATCAGAAGGACCCGTGTCATTCGCCCGCTGGCTCCCTCTCATCCTCCGAAGTCGCGGCCTTTCACCATCCGTCGTCCAGACCGTACGCCTCTCCCGATCTCAGGCCCGCCTCCTTCTCAATACCGCAGAGGGTTCTCTCCAAAGCCAAACCCTCAACCGGATGTATGCAGACGACATAGCCGACGAGATCATCCCCTTGCTCGACAGGGAATTGACCTTCCCGCCAGAGGGTCTATTCCTCCGTCTCGCAGCCTGTTCACCCAAAGACGGGGTTCACCTTGTCTCGGGTAGGATGTCGATGCACACAGTTGACGAGATCGTGCTTCGAACTGTCACATCTACACGGGCACGGAATGCGCTCCTTCACAGCCTCGAAGACGGAGAGCAAGAGTCGTTTGATCTCTTCTTCATGCCCTTTGACGTCCGGATGCGCAGTGACAGGGAGTACCGCGTGTTCTGTCCACCCGGCGGGCACAGGATTACGGGAATCAGCCAGTATCAGTGGCATAAGCCTTGGGCTTATGCCCACGAAAACGAGGCTAGACAGACGGAGGTGGTGAGTAGGGTGTCTGCGGAAGCGGAGAGGATTAGAGGCTTGATACTGGATGATCTAGACGAGAGTGAGATGGATAGGCTGCTTGTTGAGCAGGGTTTCTCCTTTGATCTTCTTTTTGACGAGGAGAGAAATGCATGTGAGTTGGTCGAACTGAACGGCTTCGGGGCGCGAAGCAGCTGTGGTTCGTGTCTGTTCCAGTGGGTGAGGGATCGAGAGCAGCTCTACCGGGGAGAGGACATGGAGTTTAGGGTTACCAAATGAAGGTGCATTGTGTTCTGCTGCATCAGGATACCGTTCCAGTGTCTACTTGCAAGTATGCACATGTTAAGGCCATAGCAGACACCTCGGAACACGCATCTAGACCTCATACTGCCACCATCTGGCGGCTATTCATTCGATGCAGAAGCTACACCACAACCGATTCGGCAGGCTGGAGGCGGTGCTAGACGTCAGCTATCTTTAGCTTGGCGGTGGCCGATGGCCTGGCCACCAAGCCCAACGTCGTGCTGTACCGCTCCTTTGTCAGGACCAACCATTTGGGTCGATTTCTCTGGCTCAATCAAGACCACCTAGCTATACTTTTTCAGATGCTGGGCCGGTTGTGTTCCGCTCTTCACCAGAAGCAGCCGCAGCCAGAGCATGTTTTCGTCTTTAGGCGCACAACGTGGGCAACGTGGGCAACGAAGGATGTCGTGCGGGTCAGGAAGCCGATCTTCGTACAAAGATACCCACGTACACCACGCAAGGGACAGAGAGGAGGTGGGCAGGGGACCCCTTGCTTGTAAGCTTCCACTCCCCGAGTCCCCACCACCTACTAGGAACATGTTCGATGAAGCACGTGTTGCACCCACGCTTCAGTTGTCACAATTCTTATCCTTTTGCTCGCGGTGCTTCGACAAACGAGCTAAATTTCCTTTGGCTCGTCCAAGTTCCGTCGTGTTTCCCGCCGTCTTTCCCAAAATGTATGTGTCATGTCGTCATAAGTTTGAGGGCTACCATGGTTGTATCGTTGCGTTTCTGTTCCCCTCACGGAACGGAGGGCGTTGAGATCCCCGCCTTGGCAGAGGAGGATCGCTTGCGCGGGGTGGTGCCAAGATAGAAACGAATGAAACGGGCTGCAGCGTACCCGTGGCCGATGTTGGGACTTGCCCGGCGTTTGACCTCAGCTAGCCACATGGCCTTTGACGGCGACCTGGCTAGGCGTTTTTCGTTTCGATTTCAGCTTCAGCCAAGGTCAGACCTTGTCAGTTGCTTGGAGAACATACCGCTACGGCGCTACTGCGTAGAACGCACAAGTCGAAAGCTTGGTAGGTGGGAAGAGCTCGATATTGGGCAGGTCAGCTACCTAGCCTCCCTTAGTGCTGAGTGGTTGGTAATATTGGCATTCCAGATCTGCAAGTGAGATTCGCAGGTATTGGATGGATTTGCCGAGAGATGATTGCTTTGCACACAGATCGCCAGTTTCGCTAACCAACATTGACTGTCTCGTTGTATACTTGATATTAACCCCACATCTGCGGTACCACGCGAATAAAGAAACTGGGCAATGTTAGACGGCAAGAACTGCAAGGTACACAGGATGTTGGCTATACGATCCTCCAAGTTCTGAGAGGACAAAAGGTCTTTTGGGTATGTACTACCTACTCTTTTGTGAACCGGAGATTAATCCGCTTGTTGCTGCGACTTGCGTCACCCGCCAGGCACGTACAGGTTCCAAGCCACGAAGCGTCACCACGAGACAAACAACCTGAGAGCGCGCCCCAACCATGCACATCCAGGGGGGTTAGCTGCATTGCAGCTGGTGTGGTTGGAATCCCTACCTGTAGCTAAGGTACCTCAGGTAGCTCTACTGCCGGTGGATTTACTTTATATTTGGAAGCTGTGCCTCCCTTCCCATGTAGAAAAGTGTCCCTACCAATTTCACACCTCTCAGGCACTCCTTCCTCCAGTATCCTCTGGTAACTTCTCCATACGGGCTGTGACACTGTGACCACTAAACATCAGCTGGCAAGTGCTAATCCACCGTTCCGTCACCTTCGCCTCGAATCATTCAGCAGCACCTACCGATTGGCGGGCTCGGACCTTGAAGCACCCGGTTGGCAGTAAATCACTCCTCCCTCGCAAAGCCTTCCACTCTTTGATCAAAAGTTGAAACGGTCTCTCGATCCAAAGTTGCTATACACTGCAACAAACCTCCTACAGCAACAAACTTTGATCTCTCCGCCGAGACCACTTCCTGCCCTTCTCAAAGAGGTCGTCAAACGCGAGAAATCATTCAATATGCGTACTACCAGCATTCTTTCGCTGCTCACCGCAGCTGCCGTGAAGCTTGCCACGGCCACACCCCAGACTGGCGTAAGTAGAAAAATCCTTCAAGAGTGGGAGTGCCAACTCTGAGTTGCCGTACTGATATTTCGACCACAGGCTCTCGGCAATGCCACTGTTGTGGTTAACAACCCACCCGGAGTGGTGTATTCTGCCTCGCTCCCTGCTGCTGCCTTCGACAAAGCGGCATTCCCCTCTGGTAACGTCAAGGGTTCCATCGCTGCCACAGCCAATCCCAATGGCATTGGTGCTTGGTTCAAGGTTCAGTTCAGCGGACTTCCCAAGGAGGGCGGTCCTTTCAGTAAGTTCACAGATCATC